ATGTAGAAATTTGGGGGTATGGAAATTCGAGATATAGGAATTCGGGAGTGTCGGGATTCGGGGGTGTAGGGATTCGGAGATATGGGAATTGGGGGGTGTCGGGATTCGGGGATGTGTGAATCTGGGAAAATAGGAATTCAGAAATGTAGAAATTTGGGGGTATGAAAATTCGAGATATAGGAATTCGGGGGTGTAGGGATTCGGAGATATAGGAATTGGGGAGTGTAGGGATTCGGGGGGTGTAAGAATTCGGAGGTGTCGGGATTCGGGGATGTGAGAATTTGGTAAAATAGGAATCCGGAGGTGCAGAAATTTGAGAACCCCCAAGTTCAGAATAAAATGCACCGTTCGGGGGTTGCATAGATCCAACGCTTCAGATCTGTGATACCCAATAAAGTAATCTATCTAAGGGAGTAATCTTCCCAAAAAATGTATACCTACAGCTTAAAAAAACAGTTCAATATCTACAAATAAGTCCAAATCACGTAACTCACCCTCCTCGTCCAGCAGTATATTATCAGGCTTAATATCCCGGTGAAGAATCTTGTGGCTCTGCAAGTAATCCAACGCGAGAGCAATCTCTGCGACGAAAAGTACAACGCTTTCTTCCGTGAAGACGACTTCCTGCTGAATGTGGTACCTGAGATCCCCGCCCAGCAGCAAGTCGGAGACCATGAATAGGTCCTCCTCGTCTGAAGACAACCGTTTCAACAATTTACAAACAAGAGGATTAACGTTGTAATTCGAAATGTCAATGAATGGATATTTACCTTGGAAACTGAACCACAGATTCACTAGACAGGGGTGCTCTAATTGCGAGAGGATCTCGACTTCTCGCGCGACGTTCTTCAGGGCTCCTCTGACGGCGCATTCTCCCTTGTGGACGTACTTCATGGCGTACATATTTCCGGCTCGGTCTCGCTTTTGTACTATACACACCTATTAAGAAATAATTAATTGCTTGTTAGCGAATGAACGATGAATTATGAGGCCGCCTCCGGGTATTTGGAATCTGATGTTTCGCGCCGGAGTGGGTGTTGCGAGAGCGAAAGATTGGGGTAATGAGAAAATGAACATTTTATGGTTTATTTTGGTTCGTAGATCAAGTGTAATTAACAGGCGGTTTTATCGTTGACTTCAATGGTCTCGAGACAATCATAGTTTCAAAAGATTTATTAAAATCTTGTCAAAGTTATTGTATATGAAAGTATGCAAATTTAATAATACAAGTAAAAAATAATACTAAGTAAACTTTTTATACAATAATAATATTAAAATTATAATGGCTGTAAGAGTATGAATTTATCTTATTATAATGCATAATATAAATTATAAATAATATGATACAAGAAAAGGTTCATCTTTAATTTGTTAATTCTTATCTCGATAGAATTACAAGAAACTGAATCACAAAAATTGACTTATTGAATTTCTCAGTAGTTAATAATTCAAGTCCCCTTCTCTCTGTTAAACAAAAGTAAAAGAAGTAACAAACTCATTAAACTCGTTCAATAAGTACAACGTAACATCGACAAAGAAACAACATCGAATTTAATTAAAAGGGCGTCTTTTGAAAGTTTGCATCATACCTTTCCGAAGCTCCCTTTACCGATAGCACGCAGGATTTGAAAGTGATCGAAGTTCACTGAAACGAGAAACGAATTAATACAACGATGGTTTGTTATAACAAGACAAGGAACAGACGAAAATTTCTATGCTAGATCGATGCTGAACAATCGATTTTCAGGATCAGGATCGCGCCTCACAAAGAACCAATTAAGCGGAAACTTGTACACTTCGATTGACGTTGGTTGCGCAAACTAAGCGAACAATCGCGGTTGGAAGTTTATTGTTAGTGATGGTAGCTTCCAAACTAGCGACGTCGTATCTTGTCATTCGCTTTGCAATTTTCGGAAATTTGAGAGAGCTTCAATGTGGAGAGTTCGATATTTTGTGGACGGTATATGATTGCGATGTTTTGGGATTTTAGCAAATGTTCATGTCATTGAATGTTTATATGGTCAAATGTGTAAATGTGCATATGTGTACCTGTTCATTTGATCAAATGTGTAAATGTGCATATGTGTACCTGTTCATATGGTCAAATGTGTAAATGTGCATATGTGCAAATGTGCATATGTAATGGACATATGTGTAAATGTCCATATGTGTAAATGTGCATATGTGTAAATGGACATATGTGTAAATGTGCATATGTGTAAATGGACATATGTGTAAATGTGCTTATGTGTAAATGTGCATAGGTGTAAATGTATACATGTATAAATGTCCATATGTGTAAATGTTCATATGTATAAATGACCATATGTGTAAATCTGCGTACGTGTAAATGTGCATATTTGCATATATTCAAATGTTACATGGTCAAATGTCCAAATGTCCAAAACATCAAATGATCAAACATTAAAACCCCAAATTTCCACAATAAAATTCCCACCCCAAAATCTCCCACATTCAGTTCCCAAACTTCATTCCCTAATTTCCTAAATACCCAAACGTTCAAATCCGAAACTTCGCAAATTCAAACATCCACAAATTCCCTCTCGATCAACATACACCCAATAAATATTTAACTATTTATCCGCATAAGCACGTAAACCCCTATAATATTGACAAAATACATCGAGATCCATTACGAATGAACGTCCCTAGCAAGGCACAAAAGTCACCCCTTTTTATATGCCGTCTGAAGTACAATTCAGATCGAGAGGATATTTTCACCTTGAAAACGAAACGCGTGGTTAGCAAAAAGAGGTTAACAATGAGTGTTGCTCACCTTCTTCTCCAGGAGTAGGTTCGTTTCTGGCCGACTGGTTGGCGCCCATTTTTGTCCCTCAATGAATCTCGATACTTGAGGGTGGCCGATGTAACGTGCATTCGAGTACTTTCGTCGAGTCGAAGTAAGACATCCACTCGGAATTCTCATGCTTCCACCCACTAATCGTTCGTTTATTCATCGAGTCGAGCTTTTTTCTTCTTTTTTTTTATCAGTTCGTCCTTGTTTACCCCGTCCCTAACCTTTTAATCTTGTTTCTTTCTCTTCATATTCCCTTCGCTTCGCTTCCCCTTCTTATTAGATCTTTCTCTGCCAGAAGCTTGTTTCTTCCGTCGATTTTTGTTTCTTCAGGACACGACTTCTTTTTCTCGCGATTGTCGAGCTTCCTTCCGTTCCCGATCGACGTTTCTACTCCCTTTGCGCTCTTTTGCAAGCTTTTCCCCCGACGTAGTCAAACATCTCGATACACATCGAATTTTCTTTCACTCCTTTTTACCAGTCGAGCATCTTATTGCCCAATTTATTCGAGTTTAGGCATCCGGTGAAACTTTGCCGTTTCCTCTGCAACTTTCATCCTTTCACCATTTCCTGCGATCTGCTGTACCTGTGGAATTTAATATTTTCACTGATGCACGATTTGCTAACGGAAGATGATGCATTGGAAAAATCACATCTATTTAGATATAAACACATTTAAGATACAGACTGTGTATTTTTATTCTAAATCAATTAAAGCTGAAGGAGAGATTCTGTGACACTAAAAAAGAACATGTAAGCAGAGTACAAGAAGATGACTGTTCACTTGATTGTTCATTTAATATACAGACTATGTAATTTTATTTTAAATCAATAAAAGCTGAAGGAAAGATTATGTGACACTAAAAAAGAACATGTAGGCAGAGTACAAGAAGATGACTGTTCACTTGATTGTTCATTTAACATACAGACTATGTAATTTTATTTTAAATCAATGAAAGCTGAAGGAAAGATTCTGTGACACTAAAAAAGAACATATAGCCAGAGTATAAGAAGATGATTGTTCACTTGATTGTTCATTTAACATACAGACTGTGTATTTTATTTTAAATCAATAAAAACTGAAGGAGAGATTCTGTGACACTAAAAAGAATATGTAACCAGAGTACAAGAATATGATTGTTCATTTGATTATTCATTTAACATACAGACTATGTATTTTATTTTAAATCAATAAAAGTTAAAGGAAAGATTCTGTGACACTAAAAAAGATATAGCCAGAGTATAAGAAGCTGTTCACTTGGTAGTTCAATTAAGAAAAGAATTTCACATATGGTACGTGTTCTGATATCGATAAATGTACACGTATATCGACACGTATGTATAAATGTCCTTGATGAGGTTAGAGCAGCACATAATATGCATGCAAATGTCTGAGAAATGGCTGATCATTCCGCAATCGATCGACGTCGTCGTTTCAAGCTGTCACGTTAATTACCGTCGCGATTCGTGCATTAATTAATGTAGGATTCGTTAGTTCGTGGGATAACGAGCAGACGGAAGCATGGTTGCTGTTCGATGATGGCAAGTCGACGACGTTCGACGGGTTGCCTGTAATGAAGCAGAAACTCAGTGGTTGGAAAGATTCGCTTGGAATCACCTAATCGGCAGGTTAATCGTCAATTTGTGGGTTCGTGGCCTGGAAATGGTAACTTCGTTCGTTCATTTGGCCAGAACGAGAAATTTGTTTTGGAGATAAATACGAGCGACGGCTTCTGGAAACTTGGTTCAATGGAGGCTGTTAGACTTGGTTCAAATATTATTTATCTTGTATTTTAGAGGTGTTGAGTACTAAAGCATCAAGTAACATGTAGAACTAGTTTTTACTTCAATAAAATATGTCAGACATTTCTATAAAATCGCGACAATAAAATTTTATTATGTAAAATGAGAAATCTGAAAGCAGTTATTTTGACTGGTTTAAAATGACTTGTTAAATTTTCAAGTTTTCAAACGTGTTAAATTTTCAAATTAACAAAACAGCAAATTCAAAGATGCTCAAATCTTTGAATCCTCAAATTCTCAAGGACTAAAATTCCCAAATGCTAAAGTCCCAAAATCTTCAAATTCTCAAGGACTAAAATTACCGAACCCCCAAATCCCCAAATGCTAAAAAACCCAAAATCCTCAAACTCTCAACTACTAAAATTACCAAATCCCCAAATCCCCAAATGCTAAAATGCTAAAATCCCAAAATCCCCAAATTCTCAAGTATTAAAATTCCCAAATCCCCAAATCCCCAAATGCTAAAATCCCAAAATCCCCAAATTCTCAAGTATTAAAATTCCCAAATCCCCAAATCCCCAAATGCTAAAATGCTAAAATCCCAAAATCCCCAAATTCTCAACTACTAAAATTACCAAATCCCCAAATCCCCAAATCCCCAAATCCCCAAATCTCCAAATCCCCAAATACTAAAATCCCCAAATCCTCAAACTCTCAACTACTAAAATTCCCAAATCCCAAAATCCTCAAACTCTCAACCACTAAAATTCCCAAATCCCCAAATTCCAAAGACTCCAAATCCTCAAAACCGAAAAATTCACCCAAAACTCAATTCTCGTTCAACCTCCCTCAATTAGCACAATAAACTCGAAGAGCTCCGAGCGAAATTTATGAACATTGAAAATGGATTAAAACCGGTATCGTCCGCACAGAGAATATATTATACCTGCAGTTTGATAAGAGCTTATGAAAACGGACAATGAGACCGCGCCGGTAAATTATTCCGAAAGTTCTTCATAATAGAAAAAGGAGTTCTTCAATCCGAAAAAAAACTGCGCCTTTTTTAATGGCAGCTTTTAAAAATCTCATTAATTAGCGTCAATTTTCTCACTATTATGCTCGAATATGAGGCGAGCGCCATTCTTCCTTTTAAATCTCTTGGGATAGAAGCCATTTTTTTCCTTCTGCAAAAGAATTACACGAATTCCGCAGCGTTTTCAGAATTGTCCGGCTAATAACGTCGGCGTCGTTAAAAACCATTATTCAAATAAATCGTTCGTTATAACCTCGTTGTTGCACGAAATGCAATTTCCAGGTATCACGCGAATAGTCTATAAATTTAGATACTTTTTCACGACGAAGTTTTTCGCGCGTAATTTTTCTACTTTCTGAAACTTGTCTCGTAAAGATCGTCGGTTTTAGTATTCCGTCAACGTCCGCCATTTTTTGCACTCCGAAACTTCGATACGCCGGGGCATTTCTTTTCTTTAAGACGTCGTGTATGAACAACGATAATTCTGCTGAAAAAGTGAAAAGTTGCAAGTTTTTTGCTGGGTGGTAGAGGGAATCTTGGGAGGATTGCAGATTTGTAATTGGGGGGACGGATAATAACGATATTAATCTTTTTGTTCTTAAGTTTCTGGATTTATAGATCTGTAGAGGTAGAAGTTCTTTTTGGATCTTCAAATGTTTAAGTTTCTAAGTTAGATCCTTTATTGAAAGTATATTTATCGGTATATAGGTACATCCCCAAGTTACAACATCCCCAAATTTTTAAATTCATAAATTCTGACATTTCTAATTTTTCACATCTTCAGATTTCTACTTTTCCAAATCTCTACATCTTTAATTCCCTACATCCCCAATTCCTCACATCCCCAATTCCCCACGTCCCCAAAACCTCACGCTCCCAAATCCCCACGTCCCCAATTTCCCACGTCCCCAAATCCCTACATTCCCAAATTTTCAAATTTTCAAATCCCTACATCCCCTAATTCCCTACATCCCCAATTCCTTACGTCCCCAATTCCCCACGTCCCCAAACCCTCACGCTCCCAAATCCCCACGTCCCCAAATCCCTACATTCCCAAATTCTCAAATCCCCAAATCTCTACATCCCCCAATTCCCCGCATCCCCAATTCCTCACGTCCCCAATTTCCCACATCCCCAAATCCCTACATCCCCCAATTCCCCTCATCCCAAATTCCTACATCCCCAAATCCTCACGCCCCCAAATCCCCACGTCCCCAAATCCTCACGTCCCAAAATCCCCACGTCCCAAAATCCCCACGTCCTCAAATTCCCACATCCCCAAGTCCCCACATTACCACTCTCTACATCTCCAAAACCTCCGCTTTATTCCTCAAATCTCTGCATCTTCCCTAACTTCCTCAGAACACCACATTCTCAGATCCCTACATCCTCCAGATTCCAATATCTCCCAGATCCATGCATGTCTCACATATCCTGTGTTTGTCATATTTCTATATCCCTATCTTCCACTTTCAAAAAAAGATTAATTATTAAGTTGCATTAACTTGTTGCCTTGTATTACCTTCAACAGTTATTTTTAAGCAAACCATTCATGTCAGAAATTGTATTTATTAATATCTATTATTAAATTCTTGGTAACCAAACGCCTGTACAATGGAATAAAATGTAATTAATGTTGCTGAGATTGACGACACCTTTTTTCGGTTTAATTAATTACGGTTGGTACATACAACAGTGAAATGCTTTCAGCATATTGACGCATTCAACCTATCAGTCGCAACTGTAATTTTGTGAGTATGGCACGTACAGTTGATACAATTTCTCTGGTTTGTTTTGTAACGAAGTTTCTGCCCTTTTCTCGTTAGTTTACGTTTATTGTTCCGGCAAACAAGAATTTATTGACGCGTTACGTACTGCTGTTATTTCTTTTTTTGTTAAACGTGCAGCCTACAACTTATAGCACTATTCGCGAGTTACACGTCCGCAATAATATATTTTGCAGTATTTTTGAAACACAGTTTTCTCCGAAACTATTTATATTAATGTTACATATTCATGACGGAGTTTGATCTCGAACGTAAATAAACCGAAAAAGAGGAATTTGATGATACATGCACGCAATATTACGCAGCGCGTGTTGATCGATATTTAATTCGACCAGTATTTACCTCAAAGAAACCTATGTCCACGTCAATGTCTATATTAGTTCTAGTTCGATGTTGTAATACATGTAGATACCACAAAATGTCGCTGGCGTTTGAGTTTAATAGGATGAACATGAATGGCAGCTGCCAATATCGAAAGCACTACGGTCTTTCAGTTCTTTCTTATATTTCTGAGAGGACCTCATTATGTACTCTGGGAAATTATTCTGAAGTATGGGAGTGTAGACATGGAGATGTTGGAATATTCAATTTGAGAATTTGGGGACTTGGGTATTTTAGGATTTGTAAATTTGGGGGTTGAGAATGAGGGAGGTTGAAAATTTGGGGGTCTGAGAATTCGTGGGGTTGGGAATTAAGGAATCTGAGTATTTTGGGGGGTTGAGAGTTTGGGAGATTGAAAATTTGGGGGTTTGAAAATTCAGGGCTTTGGGAATTAAGGAATTTAAGTTTTTTGGGGGGTTGAGAGTTTGGGAGATTGAAAATTTGGGAATTTGAGAATTTGGGGGTTTGGGAATTAAGGAATCTAAGTATTTGGGGGGTTGAGAGTTTGGGAGATTGAAAATTTGGGGGTTTGAGAATTCGGGGGTTTGGGAATTAAGGAATCTGAGTACTTGGGGGGTTGAGAGTTTGGGAAATTGCAAATTTGAGGGTTTGAGAATTCGGGGGTTTGGGAATTAAGGAATCTAAGTATTTGGGGGGTTGAGAATTTGGGAGATTGAAAATTTGGGTGTTCGAGAATTCGGGGGTTTGGGAATTAAGAAATCTAAGTATTTGGGGGTTGAGAATTTGGGAGATTGAAAATTTGAGGGTTTGACAATTCTGTAATGTGAGTATTTGTGGTTTCAAAAATTTAGGGATTTGAGAACTTGGTGATCTAACAATTCCTGAACATTTTGCAATTTGGAAACATATCTTAACCCTCTGCACTCGAAGGTAATTTGACTCTTTGCAGCAACTTTAAAACTTACTTATAAAGTTAAATGAATTTTCTTTGAGGTTATGATTTCTCTACTAATAATTTCCACTATTGTTTGTTTCATTATATTTATACATCACACGTGCCATATTATAGAATCAGTTAAAAAATGCTTATTTCAAATTATTGTATTAAATAAAATGGTGACTGACCTCTCCTTCGTCAATTTAAAAATCCATTTTACAAAAATTAATACGTAATTCCTTCGAAAATACAGAAACGTCAATTTCAAAATCGGAAATTGATTAAACCTCGTCTGCTATTTACAAAAGCGGGAGAGTTCGCTCTTCTAGCAAACACACAATATCGTCCCGTTCCCTAATTACAATTAGTCAATTCGTTTATACAGTTTGGACAAATACCAAGCGATTACCGATTGTTTAGTTCTATTCAGAACAATTTCGCAATCAAGTACAGCCCCGAGGGACGCTAATCGAAATATCGTAAACGCGGACAGAGTCAACATTTCTCTTCATAAAAGATTTAAGAGATTTTCGAGACTCTCTCCTTCGTCAATTTAAAAATCCATTTTACAAAAATTAATACGTAATTCCTTCGAAAATACAGAAACGTCAATTTCAAAATCGGAAATTGATTAAACCTCGTCTGCTATTTACAAAAGCGGGAGAGTTCGCTCTTCTAGCAAACACACAATATCGTCCCGTTCCCTAATTACAATTAGTCAATTCGTTTATACAGTTTGGACAAATACCAAGCGATTACCGATTGTTTAGTTCTATTCAGAACAATTTCGCAATCAAGTACAGCCCCGAGGGACGCTAATCGAAATATCGTAAACGCGGACAGAGTCAACATTTCTCTTCATAAAAGATTTAAGAGATTTTCGAGACTTTTCTCTTTGTTTCTAAATGCGTTCTGGCGGATGAAAAGCAGACGCGAATACAAACGCAGACGCAGTAGGGCGGAAGCGCGAATTCTTCGTGCGAAATAGGGATAATGAGCACGAAGAGCACTAATTCCGCAGCTGTTATTTACCGAGATCCAAATTGTAACTTTACTGCGACGTTTTATTATTCTCGCATGTAGATTCTAAAATTTTATCTTGAAAGGTGAATGTTTAATGACGTTGAAAGGTTGTTCGTGTCTTACGAACGAAAACCAACTGCGCTATAAAGTAGCAGCTAAAAGTTGTTATGGCGTATCATAACAGTAAAGATATCACTGAAATTTTAAAATGATTATATCAAAACGGAGATAATAGCAAAATATGCAGGAACATGATTTTAATTCTTTTCAAAGATCAAAGGGTCAGAATTACTCAGGATTACGCTTTTGAAAATAAAATGGTCTTTTATACAACGATTAACAGGAAATTATAATTTGTATTAAATTAGGAATTTATTATTGTACTCAAACTTCTGAATTTACATTGCGGCGTGTTGTGAACAGCTTAATGAAATAATGCACTGAAAGTTGTATTATAAAATGTACTACAAAATTTGAACATAAATTATCAAATTTTAAGTTCAATAAAATCGAACATGTTTCACTGATGTGTCTAAACATGTTGCTGATGTGCAATTTTTGAGTACGTTACATATATGCACTCGTGTGGAACATTGTTACGGATGTGTTACATACGTAGAAAGTTGTTATGTGTCTTACATATGTAGAAAGTCGTGGATGTATTACATATGTGGAAAGTCATGGATGTGTTACATATGTGGAAAGTCATGTATGTCTTACATATGTGGAAAGACATGTATGTGTTACATATGTAGAAAGTCATGTATGTGTTTCATATGTGGAAAGTCATGTATGTCTTTCATATGTGGAAAGACATGGATGTCTTACATATGTGGAAAGACATGTATGTGTTACATATGTAGAAAGTCATGTATGTGTTACATATGTAGAAAGTCGTGTATGTCTTACATATGTAGAAAGACATGTATGTCTCATACATGTAGAAAGACATGTATGTCTCACATATGCAAAAACTCATGTATGTCTCACACATGTAGAAAGTCATATACGTCTCACACATGTAGAAAGTCATGTATGTGTCACATACATAGAAAGTCATGTATGTGTCACATATATAGAAAGACATGTATGTCTCACATATGCAAAAAGTCATGTATGTCTCACATATGCAAAAAATCATGTATGTCTCACATACATAGAAAGTCATGTACATTCTACATACAAAGTTACATCCTAAAATATAAAAAAAAAATATACTGATCGAATTGAGTAACCTCCTCCTTTTTCGAAGTCGGTTAAAAAGCTTCCTATCACAATAAAAAAAATTTCAAAAACACTCAAAAATGAGAAAAAGGAATCAACAGATTACCCCGTAAACTTCGCTCCCGCTCAAACCACGAGGAGAAGCAACAAAATGTTCACATTTCACCAGCACTTCACATTCACCCTTTCAACGAGTTATCGGTGCGATGAGACCGGAAAAATCCGCGAAAGTAGTCTCCCGGGAGGGAGATTAATAAGAGAGAAATATCTTTCGTAAATAAGAGGGGGATGAAAATTGACGGATGTTCGCGTTGTCGCGGTCGCGGTCGCCGCACGAGTGTCGATGTTCTACGGTTCAACGAAACGACGCTCGTGTTCCGAGTACGTGGATTTAGTTGGCGTCTGCGCCGAGACGCTTGATTCGTGGGTGGTTGCGTTTATCCGCGCGTCACCGCACGCGAGCGTCGCGACGCGTTTGCGAGACGCCTCTTGCGTTTGTCGACTCAGGAATTGCCGGTATCGGTGCTAATTGATCGATCAAGTGGTTACTGAGAAACGGCAAAATTAATATATAGGGTGCTCTTATCTACCAGCTTTTTTTTTATTTAATATTTTAATTTAAATCCAATTAAGATTTAAACATGTTTAAATAATGATCTGCTACTTGAATTAAATCTCTGTATATTATTTGTGTAGATCATGAAAATGATAGGCAATGTAAAAGTCTCTTAAAGAAAAGGAAAAAAGAAATACAGGTTATAACGTTAACAATAATCTGCATTTATTATCGGATTACAAGTGAATTAAATTCAAACGCATCCAACCATTATTCCAACTGCTTGGTTCGTAATTAATTACCATTGAAGATTTAATTAAATTTTAATCCCTTCCACGATTTGCTAATGTACAAATTGTTAATAAATGTGTTCACTGTTTTTTTATATCTCACTGAATCGTAATTAACCGAATAACCAGAAAACAAAGAACAATTACAGAATATGCTCTGTTTGGTAGAAGTAGATTTTAATGAATGTTCATCTGAGTAGATATTTCTAAAACCGCAAAAGCGTGAGACCTCCTTCAAATTTGTAGAATGTTAAGAGGATCATTAAGTGGTAATTTCTTTACAGGTGGCTCTTTCCCAATACGAAGGTCACCTCTGCTTTTTTTAATGGATCGATCTGTTTTTTTTCTTTACGACGTGATAGATGAGTCCAGGATCCATTGGTATAACATTGCTAAACGATATTAATAGCTGAAGATCAGACAGTCGCGAATTCGTGATTCACGTTTTATGCGACTCATCTTTTGCAAATTCTCTGCTGACGGGTGTTGTATTACCACGTGTGCTATTATCGAGAGTCAAATTTCGACGTTCTGGATCGCAGTGCGTTATATTACTGCGCGATAAATGACTACGTATTGTATTACAATATGCAGAATCGAGGTGAGCTACTATTGGAAGAATTTATGTGAGATGTAGCGTTAGATAGCTACATGTTGGGTAACTACGCGAGGTATTATCACATGTTAGATTACCACGCGTGGACTACCACGTGTTGGATCACCACGCGTTGGATTACCGCGCGTTGAATTATCACGCGTTGGATCACCACGCGTGGGATTACCACGCGTTGAATTACCATGCGTTGGATCACTACGCGTTGGATCACCACGCGTTGAATTACCACGC